CTAAATACCTTCTCTGCCTTCTGGTCTGAGGCAAGCCTTTCTGTCAAGAGTATCATAAGTTACCAGCATGGGGGGAGGGTATAGTTTCAGTGGTAGAGCACATGCTTAGCATGCATGAGGTCCTGGGTTCAATCCCCAGTACCTCCATTTAAAAAGCAGTAATAATTAAATAAAAATAAACTTAATGACCCCCCTCCAAAAAAAAAAAAAAAGAAAAACTAAAAAAAAAAAGTTACCAGGGTAATAGGTGTATTAAAAGCAGTTAGCTTAGGGGTTGGGGACACTGAACAGAGCCCTGTGTTGACAGCTGTAAGGCCACTTCACCTTTGAGGCAGGTGGGCTTTTAGGATGGATGAGTTTGCTGTCCTGAGGGCACCTTGAAGTCTCCTGAACACAGGATCCAGAGCAGTGCTGCCCAAAAGAAAGAGAGTGGCAGCCACTTATGGAATGTTTAAGTCTCTACTGGCCACAAAAAGGAACAGGTGAAATTAATTTTAATAAGGCATTTAACTTAACCTGACACACCCAAAATTTTATTTTCACTTGGGATCGATATTTTAAAGTTCCTAATGAGATAGTTTACATTATTCATGTTTGTACCAAGTCTCTGAAGTTTGCTGCGTACCTTATTCTTCACCACATGTCTCAATGTGGACTGACCACATTCCCAGTGCTAAAGAGCCCCACACGGGGCTAGTGGCTACCCTACGGGACTGCGTCATCTAGGTCAATCCACCGGATTCCTGGGAGGTGTTTTCCCATCTAAGTATCTTGGTGCAGAAGACAGTTTCTCCTTCCACTAACAGACATCTTTTAGTACATACCAGGCACAATGCTGGGTGATCCACGTATACTCCATCCTAAGTACTCAGCACAGCAACCCAATTAACTATCATCAACCACATGTACAGATGGGGAAACTAAGGCTTAGAGAGAGACTCTGACAGGTTAAGGGACTTGTCTGAGGTCTCACAGCTCGTAGGGTGTGAAGCAGAGATATGGACCAAAGCTGCCCAACCCCAGAGCCTGCCGCCTTCGCCACTCCTAGAGATGCCACCTGGTAAATCCCTGTCACAACACCAAAAAGGACTTCACCGGACACAGCGATTTTGTGGAGGCCAGCACTGGACAATCCCAGAAAGACAAGGTGTTATTCATCCCACAGGCTTTAGGGCAAAGGTTACCTGTTCCCAGGAGAGGCAGGCAAACACAGTGAGTGTGCTCTACCTCTGAACCTCTAGGATGTCCTGTGTCATCAAGAACCTCACTTCGCTGATGGGGGCGGGATGGACAACCACGGCATAGACTTCTGTTCAATCCACTATTGCAAACTGAACTTTTAACAAATACAGTTAGGGTTTTTTTTTTTTAGTATATTTATTAAGACTCCTTGGTGGCAAGAAAGGCAAGCCAAATCAAGCAAGAGAAAAACAAGTAGGGGACACCTTGCCACGGGATACTGGGTATCTCCTGAGAAAGAGTGGAACAGTCAGGGCACAGGAAGGGCGGGAGGCAGCACTGCTCCAGCCACCATGGAGCTAGAGTTCTGGCCTCTTATCTGTCACTCCCTAGTAACCTGACTTGTAAGAAAACCCAAGCGGTCAGGCTGGAGTCAGCTGTCTATCAGTCTGTTTAACTTTGAGCAAGGATAGCTGCCAGGGGCCCAACCCTGAAGCATGGGATGGAAAATTCTAGAAGGATCAGGCCAGATGCCCCAATCAATGTTCAAGACAGGAATTTACACAAGTTCTTTAAAAAACGCATTTCTATAGAAGATACTCTCTTTGTAAGCCAGTCCTCATATCAGAATATTCTACCTTTGACTCCTCATTTCTCTCCAAAGAGCCATGTTCTGATCTTTGCATTCTTAGGGACTGGGACCATCCAGGTGGCACGCAGGCTAGACCGAGATGCAGGTAAATTAAGACAAAATCCTGCCATTTCTCTGGAGGTTCTGGTGAAGGACAGACCCTTCGGGGGTCAGGAGAACCGCAAGCAGATAACCTTCATTGTGGAAGACATTAATGACAACCCCGCCACGTGCACCAAATTCACCTTCAGGTATTCGCCTCCTTTTTTTTTAATTTTTAAAATTTGAATTTTTTATTTTTAATTTTTATACAATTTTAAAGGATACTTTCCATTTACAGTTATTACAAAATATTGGCTCTATTCCCTGTTTTGTACAATCCATCCGTGAGCCTATCTTAACACTCAACAGTTCGTGCCTCTCACTTTCCCACCCCTATTGTGCCCCACTCCCCACTGGTAACCACTAGTTTGTTCTCTATATCCATGAATCTGCTTCTTTTATGTTATATTCACTACTTGTTGTATTTTTTACATTCCACATATACGTGATGTCATCCAGTATTTGTCTTTCTCTGTCTGACTTGCTTCACTTAACGTAATGCCCTCCAAGTCCATCCATGTTGCTGCCAATGACAGAATTTCATTCTTTTTTAGTAGCGCTGAGTAGTGTTCCATTGTAGATGTGTGTATATATATATATATATATACACACACACACACACACATCACAGCTGCTTTATCCATTCATCTCTTGATGGACACTTAGGTTGCTTCCATGACTTGGCAATTGTAAATAATGCTACTATGAACATTGGGGTGCGTGTATATTTTTGAACTAGTGTTTTTGGTTTTTGGGGGGATATATACCCAGGAGTGGAATTGCTGGGTCATATGGTAATTCTAATTTTAGTGTTTTGAGACACCTCCATACTATTTTCCAAAGTGGCTGCACCAATCGGGCATCTACCTCCCGAGACATATGCAGGCACATCTTCTCTTTGGGGGATCTCGGCTCCTCTGGTGTAGTCTTGGGAAGGACTGAAGAATCATGAGCACTGGGGATATGACTCAATAAAATAAGTAGATTTGAACTGTCCCTCTAGGTAAGAGGTTTTCCCTCCTCCTCCTTTTCTCCTTCCCTTTCCTCCATTTTCTTTCTTCTTTGTGATCTCCCTTCTTCACTTTCTTACTTTGCTAAAAAGCATTTCTATTTTGCTCCCTTCTACAACACATTAACCTCTATTGGTGAAAAATACCCTAAGGACGTGTTAGACCCTCTCTGGACTATACCTTTTCTTTATTTATAGCCATCAGTGGCAAGACGGTGCTGTTGGCTAGCAGTTATAGATACTCGAAACAGGATTAGTAACTAGGAGCTCCCAGAGAAACACACCACCAATAAGAAGAATAAATCAAACCAAGCATTTACTTAAAACAAAACAGAGCATCTAATCCACCTTATGCAATGTAATGGCCTATAAATAAAAGGCAATGGAAAGAGGGGAAAAGGCAAATACAAGTGGGATACAAGTTATTTTGCATATATTGACCAGTTCTTTGTCTTAAAATCTCTTCACTGTTACTTTAAAATAAAGTCCCTTGTGATTCTGGATTAATATGCTTTTTGGAAAACAGTAGTGTCTTTCCACTAACAATGTTGTCTAAATGCCATAAGATGAGTCATTCCCCAGGTTGGCTTCAGCTTCATGGTTTCTTAATAGCTAGTCTCCAGTTTGTTGGGAGTCTGAAGGTGGCTCCCCGGGGGGCAGGGAGGGCACCTTTGCAGTGAGCGCACCTTGTATCCGGAGCAAGGCTGAACACCAGAGCTGCTCTCACTTTCAGATGTCCCTGTGGAGAGAGTCTCCTTCGGAGTTTATCTTTGACTGGTTTTGCAAGTTCACTTTTTAAGCTCTAGGTGACTTTGGACATAGTATAGCTGTGCAAAGGACAAAGGACCCTAGACAAAGACTGTCTAGGGTAAGCAACAGAAATACAAACACCTTTATTAGCTCTTCAGTGTCTCCTGTTTTCCCCATTGGCATGCCCCGCATAACGCCGAGAATCAAGTGGCCTTGAGTCTGATATCAAAACTGTTAAACCTTATTCTGGATATACCCTATTTGCCTTTTCAGATCCAGCCTCCAACCTCCCCAAACCCTGCTCTATGGATAGCAACTGTTCCTTTGCCCTGCAGCTTCTGGTTGGCCAGTGGGAAGCCCTGGAATCAGAGGGAGGGTGGAGTCAGGATATTTATCCCCTGGCTCCCTCCTCATCAGCTGGATGAGTCCCTCCACCTCCTGGAGGTATCAGTTCCTATAAGACAGCTCTCTGCACCCAGCACCCTCTGTCCCGGGTCCTGGTTTCAGGAAGAGCTCCCTCTCATGGCTCCTCCAGGCCTAGCAGTGGAAAGGGAGACTCACTCTTACTGGCCCTGAGATATTCTATCATTCCTTGAGATTTCTACGTACCCTGTGTACACTTTATAACAGCCCCTTCCCAAACCCTCCTAGAATCATCCGAATTTGCCGTCAGCTTCCTGCTTAGATCTCTTTCAAATCAGTAATAGCCTTTACCATGTGATAAGTTCCTATCCCAACCCCAACCGCAGATGCTGTTTGATGGGTGGGAATGGTTGTCATTGATATTTAGCATTGTGACTTCCACACCACTTTCTGTATAAGTCAGACTCACCTCTGTTAAGAGAATTCTGGGCCCTGGCATGGAGTAGAGGTGATACAGAGTCACACTTCCACTTTTTTGAAAATCTAAACCTATACTAGTACCCTTGGATGGCTCCAGTGCATCTTGGGAAATTCTTCTCCTCATATCCTGCCCTTCAAGACCCTCCTGCTCTCCTTCTTTGTTCTCTTGCCTGGAAAGGTAAGGAAAGAGGACTGGAGAGTAAAAACTCTGGGCATCAACAATTGGAGAGGACTGTGCTATCTCCAACCTTCCTTGTCAATTTTCTCCCCTCAGTGCATTTCTGTTAAGTGTATACTGTGGCTTCCTACGGCCCAGAGTCCCCTGATGTGTGAGATGACAGTTTGCAGACTGCATTCCTTATTAGCTGGTAAAATCACATTTGAATATCCTAGACTGTCCAGGCAAGCCCATGCAGAGTCCTGCTCTTTATAATCTCCTCTCCAAATTAACCCTGAAGGTCAACACCAGCCAGGAACTCAACTAATTGTATTTATTACTGAAGGTAACTCTAAACAATGTTCCAGTCCCTCCTCCGGGCTTTTCCAGTGGAAATAAATTGTACTCTGAAAGCCAAGATGTGAGGAGGGGCAACAAAAGGGCTCTTCCCTCTGCAGTCCCAGAAGTGGAAGTCTCTACTCCCAAACCCCAGCCTCATTTGCACACTCCTGGGGTTGGGAAACCCTGACCTGCATCACCCACGATCCTTCCATTCTTAGCATCTTCTCGGTACCCACCACACCAGAGTGGAAGCACACGGGCAGGTCAAAACTAAACCAAGCAACAGAACCGGTCTCTGACAACCCTTGTCCCTGAATATTATTCCTTCTTCAGTACTCTTGGTAAGGTCCCTGCAGTAGAGTTTGGGAGAGCAGGCAGAAGAGGGTGGGAGGGCACCAGCCTCCAGTGGATCTGAGGAGGCAGGTGGGTTTGTGCCTTGGTCCCTTGCCGCCCCATGGTTCCGAGCAAGCTCCTGGGCGGCCGGGAGATGGAAACAGCCCCTGTGGCTTTCCCAGGCTGGTGATGAATGAGCCCAGGGCCCCGATGGAGGCATCAAAGGCACCATGACAGCTCTACTCTGGTTGTAAATTGTCAGGCTCTTGGATGAAAGCGCTTTGCAAGCTGTTTGTGAGCCAGAGGCAGAGGAGGTCTGCAATTCAGAAGGCGGCTGGGCCGGTCATCTCTGTGTGGGGAGGGAACCGTGCTCAGATGGCTGGGAGTGAGGGCAGCCTGCTTTTGAGGCAGGGATTGATGAATGAGGGGGTGTGGTTTTTCCAAGTCTTGTATTTAGGGGAAAAATACCAAGTGGCAGGGGAGAGTGAAAAGAGGATGCCAGGCAGCCCTGAGCGGCCAAGTGTGGAGGCCTCTTTTGGAGGGCGTGAAAATCTGGCTTCAGGACCCTGGATTCTTTGGATGATGTAACCTCTTGGCTTCTGCAGACTTGTAATCAAGGCTCAGATCCCTGAACCCTTTGTGGGCCTGGAGAGTCACTGATGGAACCCAAAGTGAAATTCACTGTGACTCCTGGCACCGACAATAGAGACCAATGCCTGGATGCAGTAGCTTTGTGGGATAGCTCTTGAAACCCCTCTGAATCAGTTTTTTTTCACCTGTAAACTGGGGACAAGAATACAACCCTCTTGGCAATGAGGGGATTATAGATAGAGTTTTTTAAAGTGTTTAGTATGATACCACATAGAGTTGGTATTTAACAAAGAGTATCTATTCTAAGTACTTATGAGTAAAACCATGACATTGTGCAATCAAGACAGGAATGGGAATACTTGGACTCCTGTTTGGCAGAGATATAGAGGCAATTTTTGCCAGTGGAGGCATTGTGGAGATTCAGTTACTTGTTAGAAAGACTGCTTTCAGGGAACCAAACCCAGACATCCTCAGCAGCCCAAGACCATCCTTGCGGTCAGACTTGGCTCCATGTTTGCTGAGCTCCGAGCCCATTTTAGCTGCCATTAAGAGCTGATGTGGGATGTGGAAGGGAGCATAATCTGACTGCAGAGAGAGGTGATAGACAGTACAGAGGATTAGAGGATTTAACACATGTTAGTCTTGATGCTCTGAGAACAAGACACCAAGACTGGATTAAATGTGCAAGGCTTTTATCAGTGGAAATGCCTGTGGGAGAAGATGGGGAGAGAGCTAGACCAGGCTGTGGGAGTCATCAGACTACAGCGCAACCTGACTCGAGTCAAGGAAGGAGGGAGGGTGAGTAGAGGGGAATGTGCTAGTTTGCTGTGCAGTTCATGAAAGGTTTGGCAAGGACACTGGGGAGTCCTGGAACCCAAGTCAGCTGTCACAGGACAGGAATGAGTCTGCTTAGTATCTCTGCCATGCCCAGTCATTGGCACACGACCTCACTGCAAGTGCAGCAATGGACTTCAGAGCACAGCAACTAAGGTCTGTGGTCAGTTATGTTTCCAGGGCTGAAGGTCTTCCAGGCACATTCTTGTGGCCACCACAATATATTTTTGTAAGAAATTCTGCTCAAGGCAAAACACGATTGCGATAGGTACCCACCTAATAATAAAGGAAGGGAGGAAGGAAGGAAGGAAGGATAGAAAGAACAGAAAGAAAAGAAAAGAGAAAAGAAACATCAGCCATACAAATTCCTCCCTGCCTGCACACATGACGTTTTGGAGTGTGATTTCGCCATTCCTCCCATCAAGAGATGGGTATCTCTTTCTACTCCTTGAATCTGGACTTTACCAAGTAAATTGTTTTGGTCATGGGAACAGTCACAAACAGCACAGCAGAGGCTTGAAAGATGTGTGTGCATTGGGACTTGCCCTCTGTGGAAGCCTTTGGAAGCCTGAGATCTCCACAAGAAGAGCCCAGACTAGCTTCCTGGAGGATCTGAGACAACATGAGGCAGAGACCATCCACCTTCCCACCAGACACGTGGGTGAGGCCATCCTAGAATAGCTAGCCACCCCACCCCGAGCCACCAGAGACCAGAGAGCCAGACAAGCCGGACCAGAACCAAAAGAACGAATGGATAACCCTTGGTGTCAAGCTGGGCTTGATCAGACAGCTCCAAGTTTGGGGGAAGCTTTACTCATTTGCGTGCTGTTTGCCAAGCCCCTGGAGTGAACTGAGATTGAGACCCTCAAATTCGACCCTTAATAAACCTCTAATGAATGAATGATAGTCGGGGGTCAGGAGGCCCATCTATGACTTTGAAGCGGTGAGAACACAAGTGGAAGAATTCTCAGCCTGCAAAGCATGGGAGGGGAGAGGGGCAGGGATACAGGGATTTCCCCCAGCTAGATTCGCCACTGCGGCAGACAGGGGCAGCATTGTTAGTTCTCTTGTGCTGTCTTTGCGGCTGTGCTTGTCCCGTTAGTGACCCTTCATTCATTCAACAACCATTTATTGAACATGCCAAGGACAAAAGCAGACACAGATCCCCACCTTGGTGGAGCTGACATTCTGGGGAGAAACAGGTGATAAACAGGATAAGCAAGTAAAATCTATGGTTTATTGGAAAATGACAAGTGCTAAGCTTTAAAACTAAAGTGGGGAGGGGAAGGAATAACTCAGTGCTAAAGTTGAGTGCTTAGCATGCATGACTACATACATACATACATACGCCTAACCATCTCCCTCCTGAAAAAAAAAATTCTAAAGGAGGGAAAGGGAGAGGGAGCAATGGGTGGGGCATTGACATTTTAGAGGGGGCAGGCAGGTAGCCTCCCGAGAAGCTGCCATTTGATTAGAAACTAATGCAAGTGAAAGAACAAGCCCCATGGACACTGGGAAGAGCATAGCACGGTAAGTGCAATGGCCCTGAGGCCAGAGCCTGGGGCATGTCCAGGAGCACCGGGGGCCAGAATGGCCAAAGGAGAGTGAACAAGAGGGGTTAGTGGGAGTTGGTTCCTCCAGGTAAGGAGTGGGGGTGGGGGCGGGCATACATCACAAAAGATAGGGCTTTGAGTGAAATGAGGAGTCCTCTGCGATTCAGGAGCAGAGGAGTGACATGATCTGACACCATTTTAACAGGATTCTTCTGGCTGCTGTGTTAAGGAAGGAGGCAAGGGCAGATCGGGGACACAAGTGAGGCGGGCACTGCAGTAACCACGGACTTGCTTTCCATTGAAATGAAAGCTGGGGTGTCTAGCCTAGGGCCTGTGTTAGAAGGAACACTCAGTCACCATTTGTTGGGGAAAACATTGAATTGTGTCTTTTCGCTAGCATTATGGTGCCTGAGAGAGCAGCCAAGGGGACATTGCTTCTGGACCTGAACAAGTTCTGCTTTGATGAGGACAGCGAAGCACCAAACAACCAATTCAACTTCACCACGCCATCTGGAGTCGGGAGCCGCGGCAGGTTTTTACAGGATCCAGCTGGCTCTGGGAAAATTGTGGTCAGTTAACGGTCATTGCATCATCGAAAGGGCATTGGGGAAGTTGGGCTAACATGCAGAGTGCTTTTGCTGCCCTGTAGAGAGACATTTCCAAGGTAACTCCCTCTCTGAGTGACTGTAAATGACAAACTTAATAGTGACTCTGTTTTCCCCATTTGCTCTTTATTTTACCCAAATTCCAGGAATTGTCGGTTATGCGTGGTTGTGCCTGGGGTGCTAAGGACTGGATTCTTTCTCACATAGTTTGCACTCTGCG